ATGGTTTTTTTTTGGGGGGGGGGGGGGGGGAGGGGGGGGGGTCGTTGGCATCCCCAAGAGCTGCCAGTGAACTACAGTTTGCTGGGAAGAACGAAACAGAGTAATTAGTATACTCTAAAATCGATTAAACAACCCTTTGAAACTACTAAATTTGCCATACTTCTCAGGGGCTTCGTCCCCCGGAACTACTTTCGAAAGATTTTGAGCGACGCTCGATCAACGCCACTTTCCTCTCGTCGGGGACTTCACCCCGGCCCCCTCTTGTCGTTCACATAGGGCCCCCGACCGGCAAATCCCTGCACAACCCCTGTTTTATTTCATTCATTTTCAGTACTTGACCAATGCACAGTTGCAATATGTACAATATCACAGACCTACGGGTCTGTTAACTTTCATAGCGTAATGTCAGGCACCACTATTACAGTATCCTAAGTGAACAGAGAGACATGGATAAAGATAAATGCATAGCGAGCTTTATAAGCATCGACCTCTCGGCTGAAAGTTTGAGTTCAACGTTATGTTTTATAAATTATGCCTAATATGAGTCATAAGGAAATTGAGAGTAGATTGTTTGTAGTCATGAGATAGCCTAATAACCAGGAAATTACAGCATTTGAAACCAAAACCTGGAATAGGAAAATAAACATTCACTGAGTAAAGTTCGTTGCTAATGGTGACAAAATATTAAAAAAAAAACACGTTTGAATTTGTTCTTTACTGATTAAAACTAAACACTTTTTACCAAAAATGCATAAAGCTAGTAGGCTTATAAGTACTAATTTAAATTGTCAAATTTTAGTATCATAAAGTGAAATTTGTGATAAAATAAAAAGGTAGGAACGGTTAAATACTGACTGTAATCCTAGATCATAACACATAGGGCCTACATAAAGTATACCAAACTGGCCAAGTGGTGCTTTCCTTGGAACATAGAGCCCAATAAATATTTGTATACCTCCATGGTTAGAATATGAACCGGTTGGAGGCAATTGATGGAACTATGCGGATACAACTGAAACTTGTGTCTAAAACTTACTGTGCTTTATTCAAACACAAGACCTTCTGTTACCATTTGTGTGCTCTATCAACTGAGCTATGATGCCAAAATATTGTGTAATAGACTACGCAATGAGTAATCTATAAATCACATGGAATACCTCAAACTATAGAATACGAGAAAATTTGAAATATTGTGCTAAATGTTAAAAGTTAAATACGTACTGTATATCATAGAGTATAATAAAAAAAAACACATTACAGTTACAATTATATATTAGATACATTATTAAAATATATAATATTTACACACTGTAAAATGTTTATAATTATTATAAATTATAATTATTATTATCATTATTACTATTATTATTATTATTATTATTATTATTACTGTATTATTATTATTATTTTTTATTATTTATTTATTTTTTTATATAGCGCTTTTCTCTCCAGATACGAAGTGCATGTACTATATTTTCATGGATAATTAAGGAACATGGCCAATATTATTCATGCTTGCGGTTCTGAAAAGAACTGTTGTTTTTGGTTGGGAATATTTCGACGTTTCGATTGAGTGACTTCAATCGTCTTCAGGAGAATAATATCTGCAGAAATTCAAAAACAGTGAAATACTTATATGTTTTGGGTAGTGAGACTTGCCGCTGATTGGTGGAAAACTAAACAATAACTGAGACTATGTGTGAAAAGGATAATACAAAAGCTAGATGGCCAATATTACCAATCCATATATCACTGTCTTACTGATAAGAGGCAATACGTTTTCATTCTAAATAAGAGACATTAATTTATTTATTTGTATTATAAAGACTCGCTATACGTTTTATTGTTTGTTCCTTCTATCTCTACCACTTGCTCCGACATTTTGATATTATCTTCAACATTCTCTTCGTCATTACTTTGACAGTACACGACAAAAGATGCAGCAATCAAAATCACAAGGACGCCTCCTACGGTTCCTGCAACGATTGCCGGAATATTTTCAGGGTCAACACCCTTATTTTCATCATTATTTCCGTCACTTGCAACTAAAATGAAGACACAATTAAATATATAACTGAAACGATACACAGTATATCATTATAAAGAAGAGAATATCGGCATAGATATCAGTCAAATATGTTATATATATATATATATATATATATATATATATATATATATATCATAGCTCTGTAATCATTAAGATATTGACATGTTAGTTTGATGGTGATGATATTTTGATTTTGTATGATTGTAAAAAGCGCCACATAATTAAAACAAAATTAAAATTAATAAATATTAAAAATAAACATACATAATAAACCTGCACATATGTTTAGCCCTTGGAATTCATGTCAAGACGGAGAAGGACACAATCATTTTTATCATTGTGACACTTTTGACACATTTGATTCGTAATCGCACAATCTGCTGCACGCATAGCAGACATAAGTGGTGAACTCACCATCACAGATTGTACCGGTCCATCCTTCAATGCATCTGTCGCAGTTTTCCCCTGTCCATTTATCAGAGCATTCGTTACACTCTTCGCCTGTCCATCTCTCGGAACAGGATACACAATCAGGCCCGGTGAATCGCGCACTACAATACTGGCACTCATCTCCACTAAAGTGTAATGAGCATTGGTCACAGTTCGAACCAGACCAATTATCGGGGCATACGTTACATTTATTCCCAGTCCAGGCATTTGAGCAAGTGTCACAGTCTTCTCCCACCCAATTGGGCTGGCAGGAGGAACAGTCTGGTGGCTTCCAGTTCACATCACACGCGGTACAGGCGTCACCCCTTAATCCTTGTGGACACTCGCAAGTATACCCATTTAAATCTTCGATGCATCGTGACTTGGGCGGACGACATGGATCGCTTCGACATTCTTGAATGTCTAACAAATTGAAAAAAAAATCTTATATTTGAGCACCTGTCATTAACCTCTATATATATACAGTATATGTTCAATTTATATATATATATATATATATATATGAATGAATGTATATATAAATCATCAAAGACATCAAAGAAAGGTAAATACAGTGTTTGCATAAAGGACATGATTGTACATCATGTACCATAGCTCTCAACGAATGTTGTCCTATAAACAAATACATTGTGTAATAAAATTCCTCCGACAGAATTGGAATCGTACCTGTGACCTCTCGCTGTCAAGGCGAGCGTCATAACCATTAGACCAGAGGGGCTTCATAGTTAAACAGATTCAAATAACCGCCGGGTACACTTAATTACACAAATATTTGTTTATAGGAGAACAATCGTTGAGAGCTACACGATGTACAATTATGTCCTTTATTCAAACACTGTATTTACCTTCCTTTGGTGATTTACATATAATTTAACAGTGCTAACGGCTATCTTGATTTATATATATGTATATATATATACAGTATATATATATATATATATATATATATATATATATATATTTTAAAAGGCCTATAC